TAAGGCTTACAAAACTAATTGCATAGGAATAACATAAAAGGGGCATCGTCATTACCTAACACAAGGAGTTGTGAAGATTACTTGAGCACCATGTTTTCACCACAACACTGGCGAAATTGCACGTTTTTAAACCTTTTGAATCAAAGCATTTTAACGAAAGCTACATGAGTTTTGTTTTGGCCGGGAGTGTGTTTCCAAGATAATTACAATGGCACTTAGGACGGGGAAAAATCGTGCAGGCCCTTTTCGTGCCGTTATTAGCTAAGAAGCTCTGAGAGTCATTTTCTCATTAAAAATAAGCCAAACAAGAGAAGGGCGGTGAAGGACTTGTTGAATATAAATAATCCCGTCGAGTTCAAGAAAAATAATAGAAAAACATTGTTGTAGAATAAATTCACTAGCRCAGCTAATGATCATCTTGTGCTAAAAATGCTGCTTAATTTATTGCAAGATACTGAAGAAAGAAAAGTTCATTTTAAAAGTGACATTTTGTTATATCTATGGTAAATGCATGGACATGATAGAAGCATTGGACTGCGCCTCATAAACTTCTATTCTACAGACATGTTCAAACCAAAAGAATAGGTTGTGCTAGTTATAAAACATCATGACTGTTCTGAAAGCAAATAATTTATTTATTTAATTATATTAACTCGGATTTGCCGCATTTTAAACTAAAGATGATTAACTAAACTTATGTTTCGACTCAAATTAATCACTTTCATGGTTTTTTGGTTTATTTATATTATTTGATGTCTGTAATTTGATATAAATAGCTGAATAGTTTTGTAGACCGCAATACATTTTTAAAATGATCTTCTGTTTTATTGTTTTCTTAGTTAATAATTACTGCATTATTTTTTAATCGAAAGTGATCACTTTTATAGGTTTTCAGTTTAGGGCTGATTTTTATCTAAGGTTCAACGCGCCTTGTTACCCTGAACTTCCGATGACTGCAAAATGTTTCTTTCATTATTTTAGATGGTTTTTTTTTGGCAGCCGTTCCCAATTACGATGCGGTACACGTAGCTCCATTTTTGATAAAACAGGTAGACATTTTGTCACCAGCTGAAGTAAAGTGGCTAAAATGCGTTGATGCCAATATGAAAATCAACCTTTATTTGTAGTATTTTCACGAATTTACATAACCGATTTGGACACGACTTAAACAATGCTTGCCTGTTTTTTAATCATACCTAAATTGCAGTTATCACATTAGTACCAAGTACGTTTTTTGTCAAACGAGAGAAGTTGGATAGTAGATGGACAAACCCTAAGGGAATGTTAGATTTCCATGTCGATTGAGGCTAAAATATGTCATATGTAATATGTTTACYCGTTTCGAAATTTTATTATTAGTTACTTAYYTTCTYTAYATATGACATTCACAGAATCTCAGTYTYTTTATTYGGTTAGAAKTTTTCTGCAGAACATGTTAATGCGGATTTTWTTAATACATTTTGTTACTCATTTTCCCTAGCCCTAGCCTAGCCAACCAGTAAAAATTTGACTTTTTGCAAATCGTATAGGGCTTATTSAAAATCAMTATTTATACATTATTTGATTACCCTTTAATGTTGTGACACTGCCGGAAAATAAAAATCAACAGCTGAATCGAATAATCTCTCGAAGCGACATTTTACAATTTAGTTTACTTTTGCTTTTTACAATCCTTATTGATTATTGTTTATAAAGTTTCGCTTGTTCGGTTCGGAAAAATATTTTTGGAAAAAAACCCGGAAAAAATTATTAGGGTTTTGTCCAAAATTTGAAGCTGTAAAAGTTTTGAAAAAATTGTTCACAAAATGGTTAAGCAGCGAAGTGTTCCAATAGAATTCATTGGATAATTTTTCACAGAAAATAACTGAATTTTGTCAGTGTCAAGTAAATCTTTAGAAAATAATGCGTTACTTGCTTAGAAAGAATTGCTTAAGAAAAACTTTGCTAAAATTGGAAAGACCTGAAATTTTAAATGAACTTTAAATTTCTTCAGAGCGATGAGGTCAGCGAATTTTCCAAATAATTTTTTGTAAAGTTTTGCTCTGGTCGTTTTTTCTTTACTTTGGGAAAAAAGTAAATAACATTATTTGGTTTTTGTGCCAAATTCGAAGCTCAAAAGGGTTTTAAATATCCTGCAAAGCGATGCAAGAGGCCAATATTCTAACGACATTAATTGTGTCGTTTTTGGCTGAAAAGACTTCATGATTGTCAGAAAAGACGAAAAGCATCAGAAAATACTGGATTTTTTGCGCTTTCCATTAAACATTTTTCGGTTTGTAATCGTTTTTTCAGATAACCTTAATGATTTTCCGAAAAAAACGGGAAAACTTATTTTCGTTTTTGTCCCGAATTCGACACTGAAAAAGGTTTTTGTAAAATTCCTTCAATTCAATGCTATAAATTTATCTTGTAATTTTTCTCGTAAAGTACCTCCAGAGTGTCAGTATTTTTAAGTTTTCTACAAAATAGAGCCTTTTTGAGTATAACGCATATATAAGCAAGAAAAAATTCAATCAAAACTAGAAATCCACATTTTTTAAACCAACTCTAAAGTCTTCAGAGGAATGGGGGTGTTTTGCACACCTTTGTGCTTTAGTGCGCTGAGGATTACTGCTTGCCTTTTTATTTAGCTTTTTATAGATGATTGATTGGATGATTGCTGATTTATTAATTTCTATTTATTGATTATTATTAGATTGACAACTTCACTTTTCCATTGTTACACACCAAAAAACCAGCACAAAAATAATGATAGGACGCCGAACTGACACGTTTATAAATGTTCTATCCGCGCCAACAGGGGGTGATGAGTTTTCCAAATAATTTATTATAAACTTTTTGTTATATTCTGTATGTCTTTATTCTGTTCGTTTTTTAATAAAAAAATTAGTTGATTTTTGTGCTAAATTTAAAGCTGGAAAAGGATTTCAACACTGTTTACGTAACGACGAAGGAGGCGAGTGTTGTAATAAAATATATTTTGAAATTTTCGCCGAAAATATCCTTAGATTGTCAGTATTTTTATGTAAAACATTAGAAAAATGAGCGATTAGAAGAAACAGTAACTTTGGTAAAACTGGAAAATTCAGAAATTTTTAAAAAACTCAAAATATTGTTAATAAATGGCCGTTAAAATAAATCGAAAAACAACTTGCCAGCAACAGAACTTACGACTTACGTTTCTGCGCCGGTGCGTTTGGTTGGCGCACAAAGCAATTTGCGCAGCACTGCGCCAACTCCAAAAAATTAACTGAGTTACCCAGGCCTCCTATGTCCGAAGATGAACCGAAGAAGGCCAACTAGATAGATAGATAGAAATAATAAATAGTTTGGGAATTTCAACTGTTAAGTCGGTCTTAGAGAAGATTCGTACATGGATATTTAAAAAGATATATTAATAAATGGTTCGTGTCACTTAGTGTAACAAGTTTATTCATTTGCTTGACAACTTTTCCAAAAGCGGGCAAATTTTCCTTGCTTTTCAACTGAACGCAGTTCGTTTTATAAAAACGGCGATTCGTTACCTTTTTCATGATGTTATTTTTCGAATTTTCCTTTTTCATCGCCTCGGTCGGGGCAATTTGTATGGGGCACTGTGTTTGTCATTTTCCAGGGGACTGGCACGTCACATTTATATTTTACCCTATTACTTATGTATACGGTCTGTGTACATTCGTTTTTTATTGCCTTGTCGTACAGCGAGTAATAATATATTTCTCGTCCTCGACACTTAATGGCTTTTATGTAAATTGGCAGTATGACTTGAAACGGGCTCGATGTATATAGTTTAGCTGTCTATTTAGGTTTTTAGAGCCTTAAGCCAGTTTGAATGAACGGAATTGGCTGATCTTAGCCAATGTAGCTTGCACATATCAATCTTCCGGACAAAGCCAATTTCACATCGACATTGATCTATTTGGAATGTTGAATATTCCAAAATTACATCAACCAACTAGATCGATCACGTCTGCAATACTAACGTCATATTTGTCTGGTGAATATTTCTTTTGGAAGGACATGGTCGCTTTATTTCTCCAGCTCCACGTCTCTCAAGCGTCCACACTATCGGAATTGCCTTTTCTCATTTTTCGCGTATCGGATTCCCATAAATTATCGCTCTATATTGTCGAAATTCGCTCAAAGTCGCTAAGCCATAACGTCGACACTCAATTTTTTACCACTTTGACTCGCTGGCATGGATAGATAGCTGTGTGGTTTCCTTTGGGATTGTCTTTTATTGGTCACTGATCCTGAATATAGTATTAGTTTTTTGTCTATCAAATGTAGGTGGGGCAACTGACTAGTTAACATTTCACAGCACGATATAATTATATTAAGGTCTGTTGAGTTAAAAAAACCTTTTAGCCGATTGGAGTGAACGGTTTGCGGTTTATTAAAACAATTATCAATCATCTGATGCACTAATCAGATTTGCAACGCCGTATACCTTAAGCACACTCGTCAAAACATCCCAGAAGTAATTCTAAGGATTGTGTTTGCAAAGTAAGTGACAACAAAACAACAAACTGGATGTTGTTTTGTCCCTGGCAATTTTCAATCAAATTTTATTAGTTTCGCATAACTTATATTATAGTTAATAATTTGACTTTATACATTTCGGAAAGATGGCATCGAAATACTTTGCATACAAGAATGATGTACTTTCAACTCTGAAACACGCCGTATTATTTAAACATACACTGTCTACATGATCTTTTTTGCGCCATTAGAAGTGTAGCTTTTGCCGTATGATAAATTGCTCTGGTAACCCTGTGTGATTTTTCTCCATCTACTATATATATCTGCTTGTCTTTCGTAGTACAGTGCGATTCGCTAATCCGAATCCACGGTAATCCGGATTTTCTTGTAATCGGATCGCAAGGGGTTTCGATAATCCGAATGTCAAGTACATATTTGTACAGACTGCTACACGGCGACAAACAGTCTAGGCAAATGTACGCCAAACATTTCAACGAAAAAACGCAATAACAAGCAAGAAGATGATAGTCAGACTTAAAAGGGAACAGACGAAACTTTCCAAGTATGTACAGCAGTTATACTTCTCATATCAAAATCTGCTGAAGTTATGAACGAACTAAAACAATTGTCGATCGAAGTATACAGTTCAACGCGGACAGCAGTTTCATTTTGCCAAATTTTAGAAGCTGTTGGTTCCTCAACGCTAGGACAGAAACTTTCCAAAGGAAAAATACTTTTTGTCTCTTGTACCAATCGCGACTGTTCCAATAAACTCAAATGGAAGCCTTAGAGCTTTTATGACCCCTTGATTAAGCTTCTTAAGCTTTCAAAAATCGGAACATTGTTAATGGAAAATATTTATTAGTAATCAACAAAGCCTTCAGCCACCCATCAGAGGCGAATTTCAAAGTGTTAATGGCACAATAATAACCAGCTGCTTTAAGTAGCCAATTGGCCAAAATGTCATACGCTTGAACAAGCTTTACTTGGTCCTTTGCAAGTGCCGAAGGCGGAATATAACATTGCTAAAGCTTTAAAAAATATTAATCTAAATGATGCAGCTTTCTATCTTCAATATCCAAGTATTGTCTGAACTGTGGAAGGTGATAGATAGGAAAATTTGTATTGGTTCCTGCTGATATGAAGATAGCCTCCCAGTTTCTATACTAGAAGAGAACCGAAATGAACAGAACCCAAATAGAACTGAAATCAGTAATCTGGTGCAGCACATTTTGGCCACTGATCAAATGAATCGTGGGAGATGATGACCTAACATTTTACTCCAAGGCATATTTTTGCTACAGTATTTCTAGAGACGATGAATTTGTTGGGAATGTAATTAATCTGAAACGTAAATGCATGAGAACTCGTAGAGAACAAGTAATTTTAGCACTTTTGAGGAAAACGGGACAACAATAGCAACATTGTGCAGATGAAGAATTATGCGAGAATGAACAAGGGAAGTTAAATGGCTGAAATCACGCTAAGCAAAAATAACAGATTTTTTGAATCAATTGTATTGATAAATGTGTTGGTTGCGTTAAATGCAAACAAATACAATTTTTTTACCGCCTAATTAATTTGAATATTTTGATAATTTGGATCGGTCCTGTTTCAATTGATTCTACCTATCATCTACATATTGTGCAAAACCAGTTAAGAAATACTTTTAAAATTTTTAAGTCCTCATTGTCAGTTTTTCCGCACTCGAAAGAACATGGTCCAATTACCGCAACTTTTGGAGGAAAATTAATTCAGCCAATTTCTCTCGCGATGGGTGTAAGAAGGTCAAAGATGAGAAATTTTTGTATAAAGTTTACTCAGCTTATTTATCCTACTAAGCCAAGAACAAGCTCAAAGTGTTCTAGCCAATTAAAAGTTAAATTATTATTTACTGATAATTTTCTAATCTCCTGTTGACATTTTCCAACAACTTTGCTGAAGGACTGGCTTTCTTCCCTTATAATTTTTGATTGAGTTAAGATCGAATGCCTCAAAAACAACCTTTCCAAAATGAAGGAGTTTCATATATAGTAAATGTTACAGCTGTCTCTCTGCTGTAAAGGAAAATATAAATTTGAATTGTAAGTTTAAGTTAGTTATAACTCTGAGAGCGTTGCAGGTTTATGTTTGTGCAATTAACCACTTGCCAACTCAATTAAATTACGATTAAATTAATAAATACATATATTTTCTAAGAAACATGGTAACTGTTTATTTTATTTTTCATATGGACTTATGGACGTATTTAACATTCACAATTTGTAAAATGCAATATAATCGCGAAGCAAAACAGATCAAATTAAACTATGAATATGGGATGCGTTTTCACTAAAATTTGAAAAGTTATAAGCAACCAGATGCCATAAGGCAGTTTTGCAAACGTAGCGTTTAATAATTTTTTGTCCATATACTTATTTTCATAGAGAGGAAGGTTTGTTCATTTTAAAAGTAAACAGCATATACAAAATGGGCAAAACTATGTGGGAGAATGTCAACAATATGTTGAGCAATTCAGGTTGTGTCCACATTCCCAATAGTTTTACTGGCAACAAATGCCCATTAATCTCAATGAATGAAGAATTCAACTTATTTGGATCAACCAATCCGAAAGCTGAATAGTTACAGTTCTCATATCGCTTTGAAACTGAAACAGCCAAAACTGAAATGAATACGAAGCTTTAAAAAAAGTTTTGAAGAAGGAGATTTCTTCACTAATGAGCTAGAAGGCAAATCGTCCCATTTATAATTGACTTATGTTCAAGCTCCAAACTCAACACACTCAACACTACCAAACCCTGTTCTGCATGCCGAAAAGTTTTATTAGTGATTATAAATATAAAATTAATGTCAGTTTTTTATGGGGTTCGGATAGCGGGTTCGGCTTGTAACATAATAACGATGGAACTCATAATTACAGCAGTATAACCGGAGAGTCACGAAATGTTTTCATATTTTTTTAAATTAGCTTTGCGTTCTTCTTTCTCCTCTTCCGACCACCCGAGGCAAGCAATTTAGTTTTGTGAAATTTACGTAATATTTTTTTTTGCAGGGGCGCCTTCTCAGTAGTTAGACGATGTGTGCAGAAATCCACAGGACTGGAATTCGCCGCCAAAATAATTAACACAAAAAAATTGTCAGCCAGAGGTAAGTCGAAAACTCCAACATTCATAAAATTGCTGACTGAAATTGAGCACAGTGAATACGTAAATGATGAGAAAAATGCGAATGACAATTACTTTGGGCATATTTTTATTTGTGCAGCTAGGAACAGAAATGTCGCACTTTAGGACATTGTGTACAGTTGAAAAAATTCTTTAAACGATGCAAGATTCTGTGTGCTTTAACTTACATTTGTTCCATTAGTTAACAATCATTCGAAATTTAATTGTTAGACAGTCCACTGAGTCGCGCTGAAGAAAAACATCAGAGGATTGTATGAAATAAGAAATAACCCATAGCATCAGCTAGTCGTCCAATGAAAAGATCGATTCGTGATTTTTTGACAGATCCATTAGATTAATAGACAAACGAGATTTTGGAGTTGATTCTACAATAAACCGCAGTGCTGGTGAGCTAAATAAGCCAAACCCAAGATGTCAAAAAGTTTTAATTACTTGTAACATTATAGGAAAGTTAATTTTTCCCATGTCGTACATAAGGATTCTTATTCTAAGGCCTGGTTCCACCAAGAGTGATTAAATTCCTGGTTAACTAATCACAATCATTTTTTAATCACCACTTTAATCAAGATTAAATTGTCATGCGTTCCACAATAAACATTTTAACTCCGGTTAGATAATCATCAGTCTCCTCGGGTAAGATCGTATTTCCTTTGAATCCACGGTTCTGATTGGTTCAAACAACTGACAGATCAACTGAAATCATTTTCCCTTAAAATAGTAATCACATGTCGCTTGAACATTGATAGAGAAATATCCTTTTCTATTACGAAATACTTCTGCGTTGTCTTCCCCAAAGGATTGTACTTTAATATGAGTACAATCCAACACTGGAATAAGTTTGGAAAAACGAGCTAATGCATAAACAATTACTTGTGCTGCACTTATTTCCTTTTTTGTAGATGGGAGCTAAATGTTATTTCGAGCTAATGTGGCTATTGCAGCTGTTACTCGATGTACAATTCGATGCGGACTAGTTTTGCTTACTCCAAAAAAGTCTCCAGCAGCCATAAGATGCGATCCAGTTGCATAATACCTCAACACAAGTAAAAGTTGTGTCATGGATTGAATAGTGTTGTTTCTGAAAAATCCATTTAATGAACATGTGGCAATTTTACTTTTTACTTATTCATTTATCATAACTTTCTGTAGTATGTTGCAGGTCTATTTCTATTTCCAGCAGTAATGTTTGGACAGTGTTTTTTGATATGCAAAATAGCGTAAAAAACTCAAGGTGTCCATAATTTCAAAATAATTGACTGACATTGACTGTCTTCTGACAACCTGAATGTCACTATCCTCATCAGACGGTGGTAAAACATCGTAAACATAAAATATTTTTATGTCAACATAAAACAAATCCAACATGTGTTTACKTAAAATTGTTTGAKGTTATAATATTMCACTAATCGTGATTATCGTCAATAACCAGCCACTTGATGCGATTCAGTTAACCACTGATTAAGTGTCCATAATCGTGGTTAAAATTATGGTGGAACGCAAAGGGTTGATTAAATAGTTTTAATCAATGATTAACATTTTAATCGGAGATGGTGGAACCGGGCCTAAGGGTTTATTAAGAAACAATCGGCTTACCGCCGTGTGCTTGAGCCCATAATTACTTGCGATCTTTTCCCATTTATTTAACGAAAAATGATCTCTATCGACGCCTTTTCTTTAGGGTCTCTAGTTCGGCTAAAAAAAGTAAGGGTTTTCTTATACATATTTCATGGATTTAATGACTACTGAAATGTGTGCATTTGCTGTCAGAATCTTATTGATTACCGTACATAATAATTGTTAATCATATTTATATTGAAGGAAATTGAGTGTTTTTCAATAAATCACAAATCAATGTAACATCGTGTATTTCCCATAGTAACATTACTTATGATTATAGAAGTTGATGTAATGGTGGTGATAATCACTACATAGAGGGTGATTTATGTCGATTAAAACATTTTTCACGTGCAGTTGGTTTATGAGGTTGAAATTTGGTCTGCAGACATAATAAATCATGATCCTAAAGTATTGTGCTTTAGATATTTTAAACCAATAAAAAAGTTTGCAAAAAATTATAAAAATAAACCAGGAATTGTTTAATTTCATTAAAAATAACCATGTTTTATATATTTTGAACATTATTGAAGTCTCATTTGTTCAAAGCTTTGATGAACATGATCTTTGTGTTGATCTTGAACAGCAACATTGAACGGCAACTGAATGCGTACTTTAATTTTAACTAACTTGAATTAACTTTTGAAACGGTGTCAATATAGGCGAAGGTTTGGACACGTTTGAAGCGAAACTAGCATACCTTTAATTAATGTCTTGAACGAAGTTATTCAACCAGCTGCAAGTCGACAATTTCTATTGCCCGAGCTATGCGAATCTGTCCTATCAAAAGTTAATAACATACATGAACTCTACGAGTACCTGAAAAATTCTTAGAGAAACGAAAATACTGAGTAGAAACATACATACAACATACAAACGAATCTTATCTAGTGGTCACCACATATATTAACCACTAAACTAAGTCTGCATTAGTTTCAATCTACAACAACAATCATGTATAACAATCACAGTGGTTCTGAACTCGTTGTTTTTGCATTGTATAATTAGTTCACTTTGTTGGCCTTCAGTAGTGGCAATTGCGTTGATGAATGCATTTAATTAATTTGCGTTTTCAGCTTGCTCTATTAGCATGGTTAGCGAGATTAAATGGACACACTATCGGGTCCAATAAACGTGTCAAACGCCATTTCATATTATTTGATTAACCAAGTGGTCTTTCTTCAATAAATCATTGCGAGATAAATAAACACACAGTGTTGGGATCCGAACATATTATTCAGTTGTTGGTTCTTTCTTTCGTCTCAACACGACGCTTTGTCAACCATCAAACGTGACGAGGGTGTGACGCTCTGTATCTGTTGTAATAAGCGACTGTCCAGTGACGGAATAGAAGAAAGAGTGAACGGACGTTAAGGAAGGCCATTAGAGCCGGATAAAAGTGAACTGGATGGGGACAAAGAAGGATAAAGATTGTATTTCTATCGAGAAAGGTATTTCTAGAAAATGTCAGCTTTTGAACATGTAGTTCGGGCCTTTTAATTGGCTTGTCAACTGTACTCAAACGGAAACATTTTATGCTGTTGTGTGGTACGACAGAACCACACGTTTTATACAAAAACATCGAGACGAACGAAAACGCGTTTACGATGGAAGATAAAGGAAAACACAATCAACAATTCCCATTTAATTCAAGCAGTTTGTATAAACAACGCGAGTTTTTTCTTTGCGTCGATAAAGCAGAAAAGAGCATTTGTAGCATCCTTCAGATTCCGGTAGCAACAATTGCACTATTCAGTGCACTCGTTTTTAAAATAGTTGGCCGACATATGATTGAACAAAATCTTCTGAAGCTGTCTTGATCAAACATCCTCACTTAATCTGGTTGAATTTCTTCCTTTCAAAAAGTTTTCCGTATTAAATACGTCAAAAAATAGCTACCTAAAACAAGGAACGCTTGCACGATCCTCCCAGACGAAAGATTCGAAGACACTCTGATTTAATCTATCTACTAATAACTTTCACTTGTCCAACTTATAAGTGTTCTCCAGATCTGGCCACTTGATCTAGAAGAGTAGGCTATACTGTTAAAATCGCTGAATAACGGAAGGAAATCTAGTTTAAACAATTGATTTCGGATTTATTGACTATTTTACTTCGAGAAAAATCACTTTATTTACGAAAGAGACATTTCTACAATAAAACCCAGGAGGTCTATTTACGCACTATCTTATAAGTTTTCCAAAATGTTGTCCATTTTACTGTAAATAATATTAAAGTTTATTTTCGAACCCTCCCTAACATTGATAAGATATTCGCGGATAGATCGATTGGCAGAAGGGGACCAATTGAATGGCCTCCAAGATCACCGGATTGAACACCTTTAGACTTGACCCTTAGGACATCTTCGGTCCATTGTTTATAAAATACAAACTGCTGATACTGATGATCTCAAAATGCGAATTGCAGCAGACTGTCGGTCAATTCCCGGTAGTGTTCCGGAAAGTTAGGGAGGAGTTTGGAAACAGACTTTAGTATTAGTTATAGCAAACTGGGCAACATTCTGAACAATGGCTCTCATAACATTCTCAAGTAATTTTTTAATTTTTTGACAATGAGTAGTCTCACAGTGTTTTAAAAGAGTAGGTATATGTAACTACATAAACCAAATCACCAACAATACTAATATTTAACAGTCTTGATGATGATAAAGTGTAGTGAATTAAGAAATTTTTATGAACTTTTATAAAACCAAGGGGCTTTATAGAGGCTCTTGTCTCTACATTCGCAGATATTTTTTAACAACATAGTTTTTAATTTTTTTCTATTCGCCAAATGTCCAAATATTCTGGAAAATATGTATTAAATACAGTTCTCGTAAAATTATTTTCTATTAGGTTTATTTCATTTACAATTGCACATCTTTTGAGAATAGTTTTTTTTAACTCATTTTGCCCTTTTGAGTGTATTTTACGTAATTTTTCATTAATGCCATAAAATGGATTTTTTTCCTGTGAAATTTAAAAAGTCACCAGAGAAGCAAAAGTTAACTTATTTAGATCAACAGCAAATATCTTCAGTTTTATTGAAATTATTCTAGGGACTGTTTCTGAAAAGATGAAATAAAATTGATTCCAACTGAGTTGATGTGCTTTTCAGCATTTTGAAAGGTTCAGTTTTGCGAAAATAATAAGTATCTAAAATTGCTATTTCGAAAAATTTTAAGCTACTCTTTCTTTCCACTTTGTTTTTGTATGATATTTGGCTTAAGTTTAAATAAATGAACCGAATTTATTAGACTTGTTTTGAAAATTTTATTTTGTGCTTGAAATACTGTTGAATAATTGAATTTACTGCATAAACACAATTTCTTTAAAATTATCAGATAACTGAGGCAAGAAATAGTTGTAAGAATGAAATATGATGAAAGCAATTATTTTTTTATATTAACATTCCAACAACAATGCACTATTTTAACCCCACCTGCAACTCTTCTTTGAAAAAATTCTGAATATTTGCTTTACCAAAATGCATATGAGTTTTCTTGTGTTGGAATTGTGACATCGATTGTTACAAAATTATAAAAATCACTTGCAATAAAAAAATGTAGAAAATATTTCTTACAGAAGATATATAAAAATTTTAATACAGAATTGGCGAACTAAAAGTTCATCAATAACATAAGGTAAAGCTTCAAATATATGCTTTTTCCATTACCTTAAAACCATAAAAAAATTTTGTTCTTACAAATAATTAATTTATTAGAAAACAGTTCAGTTGCATTTTATCAAAAAAGACGAATTCATTATGCCAATGTCATTGTCAATTAAAGCCAATGATTTTTTTAAATAATTTAAAAAGTCAAGCATTTTAAACCGTATTAAAAACATTCCTGACTTTGTTTTTATTGCTAACATTTAAAGCTTCCATATTTTTGTAATCTCAATAAAATTGTGTTTAGATTTGTAGTTCTGTTCCACCGTAACGCATAAAATGAGTAGGCATTTTAATATGCGACCGCAAATCTATCTCCCATTACTATTTCAACTTTTTAAATCACAAATGTGAAATAATTATGTAAATGTTAATGTGGGGCGACTATATTCTACTTAGTATAATATCCAAAGATGTGGTTTTTTGATATAGTTTCCAAATTCGGTGAAAATACTTATGTAATACGGTGTTAACTTGAATCTTCCTAGATCTGTTTAGTAAATTTCATTTTTAAATTTTACGAGATTGTCAAAATCGAGCTGTGCATTTTTTATTTTTCCGAATATAGAAATGCATTAGTTTTTTGTCTATAGGTAATAGAATCCATTAAAACCTTTGTTAGCAAGAAATAATTTGATTTATTATGTTCCTGTGTGATTAATGCTATTTCTAGCAACAAATTGCCTTTTGAACTAGTTTGGTTTTAGTTTGATAAAATTATTTTTATTTATAGCTGGAATAATATTTATCATGTAAGTTTCTTCTCTACCTGAAATTAAGCCAATTTTTGTTACGTGTATCGGTATACTTAAAAAATGTGAAGTTTCTATAGAAGGAAATATTCTATATAGGGAAATATATCAGGTAATTTCTCTTCTTGGGAAGATATGAGCTAATTACTTATTTTTTCATATAATAAAATTGTTGTTTAAAATAGTCGCATCAATTTTTTTTAAATTTGGTTTTAGAATATGCAAAGTAGATAATATGAACTGAATTTATACAAGAAAGCTTCATGTTTATTTTTTTACATCTGTCGGAAATATTGTCTTGGGACATTTTTGTAAGACTAAATTTTCTCTCTAATCAACGCTCGCACTCGATCAAAAGCTCTTTCACTATTTTATTGTTCGTATATCGATATTTAAGTCTAAAAGAATAAATAACTCAGACTAATGGTTAAATTAAGGAATAAATATGGCAATGATTGTTTGAATTTATATGAATTCAAACATTTCAACATATTAAAATAATTTTATGTCTCTTCTGATGTGAGAACATTTACAATTATCAAAATTTTCATCTTTTAATAATTTTTGATTTTTGTGAGGTCGATTTTTTTGCTTAACTGTATCAGTACAGCTTAAGGTCACTTTTGGAACTGTTCGACAACAATTTATTCTCGAGATCATTTGCAATGGTAATTTTAGGTTCAAGACTAGGCAGGGGTTTTGTATGATTTTTACTGCAAAATTAAAATTAGTATCTCCACAAGAAATGCTCACTTCCATCCCCGTTATAAACGAATCCAATCGAGTAAAGTATGCATACACAATTGTAAAGTTACTGATTTCACATAAGGCAACAGTAAAACAATAGTAATATATACACATATACATTCAACTACAAGTTAGGATTCGATTTACTTGCCTTTCGACATCCACTGAAAGAAAATGTTACCTTCTCTGCTCTACATCTCTCTCTCAACTTTGCCGTAATAGTTTCCACATGGCTTCACGACTCCACGCGACATTTATTTTATGTTCGACTAGAACTTTTTTGCATCAAATACCCATATTGTACACGGTTGAGGAACGCACTTATTCAAGACATACAGCAAGCAGCCCGATTATACTAATGGACCGCCTTATTGGTCGAATCGTAAACACTCTAATGACGTTTTTCTTCAGAACCGGCTGTTTTAAGCACGTTCTGTACTTGGACATCCCGAACTGGTCTGAGACGGTATTTATTACTTGAAAAAACCGACCACCTGTATATTTATGAAGATGAATGCCACTGCAGCGATCGAAGAAACAAATATGTTCAGGGAAACGACCATATTAATGTGAATCGATCTTATCGTTGAGTTACGACTTCTTAAACTGGAAAATTCCCTGAAATGTTATGAGTAATTTGAAGTTCCAAATTGGGAATCCTTTGCCAACAAAACCTGAATAGGCGGCTTTTAAAAGGTGGAATTCAAAAGCGGCGAATATAAGGAAAATGCGAAAGGCGCTTTCCTGCGGCTCAGCCCTGCCGCTTAATATTCTCAATATTATAAGTAATGAACCGCCAAGTTTAACGACTAAATGTACGAAGTTTAAGAGTATAAACCCGTTATAGAAAACAAACAAAATGACTCTTAATGTGATAATCAGATATCGTTTAGGAATCCCGCAGTTGTGTACCAGTTCCATCAGAAAATCATTATTCAGGGTTCGGGTGAACTGGCTTTTTGTCAGGACATTTAAGATTCATGCCGAACCATCGTGTGAGAAGGAAATCGGAAAAAAACTGATAGATCACAAGAATCAATTGGAGATTTTTTGTTCTGCAAATGTAAATTTATACTGCAGTTTGTAAATAATATCTCGTTTATAGATTGCGAAAACTCGAAAACGGCCTTTTTATTCTATATCTTGTAGCTGCTGTTATATCTGCAAATATTTTAATAATATTTTTGCTAAATATAAATAAATGAAAATTGTCGAAATAAGGGTTTTAACATAGAAGTTGGAAGAAGAATAGGGAGGTAAATTGAAAGAAGCGAAGCACTATTAATAATTCGCTGGAGCATTGTTTTACGGTATCAACGTTGTTTTTTAGTCGGTTTAGCAATATTTTTTATCTATTATTAGGACCTATTATGCAAAGTTAGATGATAAAATCTTGAGAATAATTTCCTGCTAGATAATAATATGATGTTTTTTTCGTGTTGCAGATTTCCAAAAATTAGAAAGAGAAGCTCGAATTTGTAGAAAGCTGCAACATCCTAATATAGGTATGTATTAAACAATACTGATATAATATTATTACATACGATATACGTCTTCATTTTTGAATGGCTTCCATATCATGATACGGACAATGTTAATACTTTCTCTCTTCATTCATTGATCACTCGTTCTGCTTTACACCTAAGACTGCAAGTGAAATCACGTCCTTTCGTACTTACATAACATCGTAACATCACTAAACTGATTACAAATTTATATAATATAATAATTTAAAATCCTCATAGAGATCTATTAGAAATGATGTTAAATTTTTAATCAGTACAAATGCCACCCAACCACTAACCGATCATCTATGTGCATATGAATGTATTTTAACGTACTTTTGTTTTCATTGTAAATAGTTAGCAATCCCGAGGTGCTCAAGCATTTAGGTAATAGTTCTTTCCAGTTTTACTATATTTTTATATTATATTCCGTATTTGTTTGTATTTTCTTAAGTGTTGTGCGTAAATTCATGTTCCATATTTTTACTGGTAAATAGTCAGGGACGAACTATACGATTATATATTAAAGGTGTCAGGCGAATTTTACTCTATTTCTATGTTATAAGAGCAGAAATAAATGTACCGTAAATTGAGCATGTGATTTTTAACAACTATATCTTATAATTGGAAGTTCATAAGCCTCTTGTAACAAAAAAATGCTTCCGGTATTATTTAGACGAATGAAATTAAACCCTTTTAGACGTATTGGTAGCATGTTACAAATTTTTAAATATAAGAACGAATAAAGTTTTACATGTTTGGATTGTTTCTAATTCTTCTTTGTAGCCATTTTAATTCATTATTTATTAATATCCTGCACGCATTCACTATTCAACTTTTTCGGTTTCGAAGTTTCTGGGAAAAAGTGCACTTCTTATTTAAATTTTGATTTGCAATACTACAGCCAGTATTCGTTCTAGGGCATCCGTCATTTGCAAACAAAGACTACGTTAAACTTGATCAGCATATTCGTTGGTTTCAGCACTTGTTTCTTCAATTTTCGACTCACCTCTGAAAATCCACATTTTTTATTTGAATAACATTTTCAGGAGGTTTCCCTTGCTGTAACGTTGTGGATATTAAAATCGTTGCTTATGAGTTCCGACTCCTTTAAGGCAGTTTTCAAAAATGATGTTTACTTCTAGGTTCGTAATTGGAAACTGAGCAATCAGATTGAAATTTTGCCTGTTTTGGGATTTCAAGAGTTTCTCTTTTCGGTAATTTTTACAGCGGTCAAAAATTTCAAGTTTGGTTAGAAGTTCGAAGTATTGCAGATTTGTGGAAATATTAAACCTGATTTGTATTAGTTTTCAGGTGCTTTCAAATGCCCCAGAACGTCACCTTGTTTTCAGTTTATTAATGATTTATTATAAGACAAATTTATACGTTTGTGGAAAAGTTCACCGTTAGACAATCCATTGCAAACCTGTGAAGGATGTTCACGGATTTGAAACTCAAGTTTGTTCTATAAACGGCAAAAGTTTTAAGTTACTGCTTATCCAGTTTATTTAACTTTTTTTGAAGTTTGGAATTTTCGAACACGAGCCCGAATAAATACGATTAAGAGAGATTTCAACGAAGTACATTTTTTATTTCACTTTAGTATATTGAACGTGAATAAAAATTCATATTTTAGAAACAACAATTTTCGCTAAAAGCATTGTTTTAAGGGTCTGGATAATTGAATCACGTGACTTGTGAATTAGTAATAATTGATGGATTTTTACTAATTTAAAAGTGGTGAACATTTGGGACTATGTAATGGGACTATGTAACTTACGTTATTTGCTTTTTATACTTTCACTTTATTCAAATATTGGTTCGTTCATTTCACAATCATTAGCAGCCGGGTGCACTTTTACTAACAAGGTAACTAATCAGAAAAAAAATTAGAAATCTTCTGCGAAGATTTACAAATATTGCTATTACAACGATTTGAATCATCAAAGTTCGTCCCTGACTCGAAACATGCATGCATTTTTCTAATTTTAAACATAATTTCTGATGTCATTGTGCCCATGAAACTTTTGTTACCTGTAGTTAGTTGCGTTTATCAATGAGTCGCCTTTCTGGCATATTATCATTGTAGTCGCATCAGGACTAAGTACACTTATAAAATCGCTTAGTCGTGTTTTCGAGTAAAACTCTTGCTTCGTCACGTTTTTTTGCGCCCAAATTTGCATATTTTTCGGTGAAATCAAGTTGAAGTAGTATATTTATGCAAACCACGATAATTTCATACTCGCTTAAACGGGTCCTCCACAAAGATGGGATCCGGGATAGAAGGCTGGTTAAATTTAGTTGAGAGTATTTTCAGGGACGCTTTCATAGCGATCCATATCCAAGGGGTCGGTGGGACCTTTTTGGTCGATTAAGTTGCGAAAGAGTATTTATTTGAAGCAGTCACAAAAACTACCTAATACTTAACTAATTTTGATTAGCTGAAAATTAGGATTAGGAAAAACTTATTTCACAACAGTTAGAAACTGAAAACCCTTTAAATAAGAACAGATTTGTTTGAAAATTGTTAGCGCCATTCATGAATTTTCAAAAGTTATTCCTGGTCAAATTTTATCAATTCAGAAAAGTTTGCCTACGTTCTTGTACAAAATGAAGAGCGTCTTTCTTTACAAGCTTTCGAAAATACCTGTTGTTTCGTAAGTCCTTGAGATGAAATATACAGGGTGATTCAAAATTGGCGGCATTCCTATGGAGGTCTTGTCTGGCGGTGTTTTAGGAGTACAGAAAAATACTTAAAAAAATCATTGTTATTAAAACCTGGAGTTGGACTGGAGTGATATTCGCAAAAAACTATATCAGAAAGACGGCAACAGCGTTTTTCAAGGTAATCTGCCTTACTAACATTACGTAAAGACCTGATGCTTCGTAATTATCCAAAAACTCCGGTAACCATGGAATTATACTGAAAGTGACAATAAAATACACACAAACAAGGATAAACGGTAAATTCAACGCGATTCGTTGAATGTCGGAACGTACTTTTTCGAAATGTCAATTATTGTCCTCATAACCTCGAATTGATATCTTTACAAAAAACATACATTTGAGTCTTTAACACCAAACTAGTTAGTGCCTGTCTAATCACCTTATTATTACTCTCTCTTCTCGAGCAGCTTATCGTATTCGGAGAATCAACACCTACTCAATTTGTACCGGTGTTCACTAAGCCTTTGGTTTAATGTGTCCTTGTACTGTGCGTATCTTACATACGTGGTAGGAATGTAGCCCTGCAATTATATCCAATACTTGTTCTACTGTGTCTGGAACCCGAACATCTATTGTCGTCCACTATCTTCCAGATCCAATCTCCAATGTCTCTCGCCCTTTTGTTGCCGTGAGTTTTTACAGCTTCTGCTATCTTATTGTGGCATTTCCTCAGAACAAATCGCATATCCGCAAAATCGTGAAAGGAGCTTCAAAGTAAGTCACAGTTTCACAAATTATTGTCAATTAAACATGGGACAATTTTAAAATTATGCTTAATAAAAAAGTGGAAATTCGATTTTCAACTGATAATATCTTTTAGAAATTATCGAAAAAAAATTCTATATTTTTTTCGTGCTCTCCAAATGAGCCCCTATTACCCCTTAAAAGGAATGACTCCAATTTTGAACCACCCTGTATACTGGATGAATGCCTGTATTTTATTGTCAGCACCTTGTAAGTTCCATCTCCATTTCCATTTCTTTATTCCATATTTCTAAACCATTTTTAATTTTACTGGGACGCAATTTTAGCACTGAATAATTAGTTTTTTGCCTAATTCCCATGTGTAAATAATAAAAAAATAAATAGTAATGTAACTGATCTATCCGTTTGAGCATTGCAGAATGTCCTAGGATATGCACTATCATGGCTATATGCATTAGAGGTGTAATTTCACCTGGAAAGTCCAGCTGTGACCCAGCAAGACAGATTATTGAATATTTGCAAAGCACCTAGAGATGTTTTATTGAATTTTAGTGTTCATTCGTGGTCAGTTTATTCATATAACTTATCAACACAGCCGCACGTCAATGTGTTTTCTTCAGATAAAAAGTTTAAAAACTTGTTGAGTTTTGAAAAACTTGAAAATTTTCTTTCTTATGTGCCACATTCTATAGACAATGAATGTGCTTTCCGAGTGAGCTTTATTAGCGCCTTATAAATAATTCCGAAATTGGGACCACCCTGTATATAAACACTGGAAAATCCAAATATTTCATAACCGCTGTTGGAAACTGAAACTTGCGACAGCTTCCGGCATCAAGTTGCGGCTTTTGAAGGTTTGTTCGTCTCAATTAGTTCTGCGAGGTTTCGCTTGGTAGAACGGTTGCTAGAAACTTGTTTAACTAGTTTGCATTCGACCTTAGCGCTTGTAACATGTTTATGATGACATCCCCTCAATAAACAAATATTTGAGTAAGTTACTAGACGATTGCCTTGAAAACTGTTACTTTCCGAACATTTTGAGCCGTCTATTGTTCATACATTACCTACCTGCAAATGACTTCAGTCTTGTAATCCGATTTATCATACACGATTAAATTATGTTCCAAAGTGACTGACGCAATCATTTCCATGACAAAGTGATTAATAACAAAGGAATGGCTCTTGAATAGATTGACTTCAGACCCCTTCCTACTACTCGGATCCTGGTGGCTTATTAAACGAGCGTCGAGTCGATCCTTATGAGGGATTCGTGCAACGCTCTGATTCGAATTAATCCTGTTCTATATAAACTCCCCGAACAGTGACACTTTCCATAATTAACCGCGACATTTTCTTGAATTAAGAGAAACTTTGATTCGCGGCTTAATTATGGGATCTTTATCGATTTTGATGGCTTAGTTGGCTTGCCCCTACTTGGTGGATGGTCAGAACTGTTGTCGAACGGCACAATATAAGATGTAACCAGATGATTTTCGCAGAAAAAACAGTCCAAGTGCATAAGTCTGAATTTTATATGGTCTCAAATTGATAATGGATGTTCGGTGTTT